CTTTGTCATTGATACTTATTTATTTATACTGAAACAACGACGTAACCCTCACCGTTTGTGACAGGCAATGTCAACGCAACAACGACGTAACCCTCACCGTTTGTGACAGGCAATGTCAACGCAACAACAACGTAACCCTCACCGTTTGTGACAGGCGATGTCAACGACCGGACTCTGAAACTTGATGCTTTTCACTTGATTTCCCGTCTTCAGCGAGACGAAGCAGACGGAGCAATATGGCGGCCCGGCGCTGCAACAACAACGCCATCTGGTGACGACCGCGGACAGACATTCTTGCCCCGCACCACGACTAACTACGCAGACCCCCGGGGCCGTAGGCTGAGCAAATTCATAGGGGGCAAAATTTCATGACTCAACTGTGTAATGGTGACATTACACAGTACCATTACACATACATGATCAACGTCCATAGTGTGGTAGGGGTGGGTTTGAGACAAGGCTTCCACGGATAAGTGACCAAAAACATCATGTTCTAGGGTTATTTATGATTATTAGCCTTTTTTTAAATTTTGCTCCAAAATCTATGGAGGGCAGTTGCCCCCCTTGCCCCCCCACCAGAGGCTATGGCCCTGGACCCCCTCCTAACGTCTCGAAGAACGGACGATCTTAAGCAACTTTGCAGAATCGCAGGAAAATGACGATCGTCGAAAAATGGCGTGCTAGTAAATGTAAATACCCATCTCGAAATTAAACTGCGAATTATTATTCGGACTCGAATAATACGACAACGTTAATTCAAGATTTAGTATTAAAAAAATTACGAGGCTTTGCTCGCGAGAATTGACAACACACGAACGTCGCGTGTCAACTCACCTAGAACTATCACAGATGGCCACCAGAGGGCGTGACTCCGCATACGCATCCTCAACTCCAAACACTAGAGCAGCAGTGGAAAAACGTTAAAGTTGTAGGTATGGTTACAAATTAATGATAATAATGATGGTGATAATAATATTAATAATATTAATAATAATAGTAATAATAGCGACAAGTCATCAGTAGTTACAATTTTGAATGAATAAGGAATGAAACATTTTCGTTATTTTCATGCTGTTATTACTTTCTGCGTCACTTCTCTCCCGATTATATTTATTTCATGTTTACAAAAACGCTAAATTTACAAAAGTCAGTGGCATCTGATCTGCATTAGATGCCGCGCAATCTGTTAACATTTATCTCAGTCACACGCTCGCCTCGCCGGCTGAACGAGTGCACAGGTATATAACTCTGTAGCACCACTTACCTGGCTCAGGTGTGGGCAACACCTTTAACACCTTCACAGGCCCCTGCCGCAGCGACAGCACCTCTTGTGCATCGCCCGTCGACTGTCAAAAACAGATGAACACTCGTTAGCAGGTGAGCCAGGTACCTTCTCTCGTTAAGAGGTACGCTAGGTGCCTTCTCTCATTAGCAGGTGGAACCATGTAGCTTTGATTATTAGCAGGTGAGCCAGGTACCTTCTCTCATTAACAGGTATGCTAGGTACCTTCTCTCGTTAGCAGGTAAACATGCTACCTAACGAAGCTCATGATGCCAAAACATTCAGCCATTACATAATAATAATAACAATGATGATCACATAATATATATATATATTATCAGAAGTGAATAATAATAGATCAATTATTATTTACTCCTGATATTATGATAGTGCGATGTGATAATGGTAGCGCGCAAGCTGTGCTTACCATCAGACACCATAATTGCACTCCGTTCACGTAACCAATCACGAGCAGTAGAGGTGGCGCCACCCCGTCAGGATGTCCTATCTCTGGTCGTAACTTTGGATCTGCAGAGCGTACACACACATAAACATGCACGCACACATAAACACACACAGACACACACACACACACACACACACACACAGTCACACACACACACTGACCGTGAATCAAACCATGAAAATCTAAAACACCGATTCCGACACGACGAATTTACAGATTGGGTTAGAGCCGACCCGTCCACCTGACATTATCGACAGTTCTAGTCAATCAGTGCTGCAATAAGACATTCTAGAAACAATCCCTAGCAACAAAGTGCCACATAGTCAACAGGTGTGTAAAAACGTACAACCACAGACTGAGTGTGCTTGACTTTTATTCAAACAATATTTAAGGAGTGGGGCGAGGGTTTCCTCGACCAGATGGATAGGTGGATATAGAAGTTCAAGGTTTAATAAATTACGTTAATTATAATATAATCATAAGTATGTACAACGCCATCGAATACGCAGAAACGAAATTGGCAGACGATTTCGTTCTTAGCGTACCGTTGATGTCGCATCGCTCGAACTTTGCCCAGACGATCTTTTCCCTTTCGTCCGTTCTCTGTGTCCCAGAGTAGGCCTAGAATGAGGAGACACACGTCACGGTGACACGAATACAGATAGTATCAGGAGCGTATAATGACAAAGGAGTAAGACAGCGATTTGGTACTGATTTCACTACATTTTTGTCGTACGAGTTCGATGTGAATAAAAATACAAATGTATACAAACATGTACACATACATACGTACGTACGTACGTACATACGTACATACATACATACATACATACATACA